CGTTTTCGGATTCATACTGATAATATAATTAGATGCTTCCTTAACTCATACTAACTATTCTATTAGATTATAAATGTTATTGTATTTGTTATTATTACAATGAGACGTATCAATACTATTTTTTTTGAAGTTATTTTTAAAATTGACTTTCTATTCACAGAACAAATAACCTGTTTTGTTATTATTTATTCTTTAAATAGAAAGTGAATCATGAGTTGAAGGTTTTTTTAGGGTTCCATACATGAGAAGGTATTCCGTTCGTCCGTCCGTAATGCGTATGCGTCAGTCATGCGTACGACACGCATGATTTCTTCCTAAACTAATATTGTGTAGAGCAGGTGACCCGGTTTTGGCTATTTTAAGATTCGGACCTAGTTTTAGCCATTTAAAGAGTTACGAGAAAGTATTTTTTTTTGATACTTCATGTACTGTCGTACAAAGGCGGACTTAATGCCTTAGGCATTGCCAAAGGCATCAAGTGCCAGTCAGCCTTTAGGTGTAATTTGGATACTTCAGAATTGTCAACGGTATTAGTTTTGTCATGATGCAACATTTTAAAAACCATTCACGGCAAAGTACAATAATATATTTGCCTATACATTAGCATAGTTAAAATGGCGTTAGTTAGAAAGCTTTGAAGTAACGAATGGTCATTCGTTACTTCAAAAGGGGCTAAAACCTGGTTTTTTGCCCTGTTTTGCCCAGGTTTTTATATTTAACACATCTGTGAACTAAATCATAATTTGTGAAAGAAATTGTGATGTCCTCTATTTTCCCCTCACACCTGTAATGTGAACTAAAATAGACGTTTAAAAATACAACAAGTCGGCCATGTTGAAAAAACCTGGCTATCCATGTGAGTACACAATCAACCCATCGATTATGCAGACCAGTGATGTAGGCCCTCCCCGCCCTGCGGAACTATATCGTATCAGTACAACTGTGGGGTATGTGGTCTACTGCTAACTGTTCAGGTTACACCGGTTACGGTAACTCCCATTTGTTCGTGCCACCTTTGTTGATGCTGGGGTGTGCTTACTAGTAAAACATATGGATTTATACTGATATAAGTAGTTGCTAGGTGCTCTTTGGTATACCTATATATCTACTGTTGTATTATTCCGTTTGTTAGATTTATCGGTGAACATTAAAATAAATACGTGTATTATGTATTTATTAAATACCCATTTATGGAAATACTTATATTTTTTATTTGTTGTAAAATTTGAATTCTTATTTAACCTGGCCTCATGAGGCTGGGAAACGGTAACACGGATGGCGTTATGGGTCTCACAGACCCGTTCGTTAGAAATCAGTTATTTCAATAATTTATAAATAATAGTGATAGTTATCTATGTTTAGTTGTTTGGTCATGAAAAATATTACATCTTATTATGATTTTATCATTTTTATTAGAATATTTAAAAACAAACGAAAAATATCAACAAAATTATTATCTTCTATGTACGAGAAGATATAATTCTACTAATTTAACAATCAGTCTTAACATTTAAATTTATTTTTTGTAAGTAAACTAAATTATATTTTTAAAGAAATCAAAAATTAATCTCTCCGCATCATTAGTACAGTCAGCACATAACATAACATGTTCTAACAAATAATTTTCTTACAACTCTTGCAGGTGTTATTTGTTTCCCGGTTTTCCATGGCGCCTTTTGCGCAAAAAAGTTTTTTTCGTATTCCCCTGAAGATTCACTTACAATTTTCCAATTTTTTGTCGCGACTCACATGGAAAGACTGATATATTTTATGAATTTTTAGGTGTTCCATTCAAGAACCAAGTCTAGACCACTGAAATAATCATCACACTCTTCTGTAGCACAGTCTGGTTGACAAACAAAACAACGTAACTATACGCCATCTTTCTTTCTCTTCATGGTAAACTTTAGCTAAAGTACCTAAAAAAACACATAAAAAAAATTTACTGTATTATAGCAACATTAATAATAAACAACGACAAGAAAACAAAAATAAAAGCATAAACACATTGTAACATTAACTGCGGGGACCTTAAATACCTTTTACAACTTTGTGCACCTGTAACTTCCTCTGTGTCCGTGGCACGTGCACACAACTCGACAGCTCCTGCTACTGAGAAGAGCAGCAACGTCGCATAGTAATTGAACTATAAGCTAAATGAAACGTAACGAGTCTCACAGACCCAACCCCTCATGACGCCAGGTTAAATAAAAATTCGTGAGTGCGAAAAAAAAAAAGCTTCCCGTACCGGGAATCGAACCCGAGCCTCCTGGGTGAAAGCCAGGTATCCTAGCCACTAGACCATACGGGAGTACGTTATTCACGTCGAAATTATCAATATGTACAAAATGAAATATGTATTTGTTTATACAGACAAAACTTGAATACGTAAAATATGATTATTTTGACATTAATGAATAATAATTGTTAATTCATATTAGATCTGAATAAAATAGCAGCGACACTCAATGGGCCTAAAAATATTACGAACTAGTAGTGCCATCTAATGACACATGTAATAAGCAATAACTTGGTAACTTGCTGTAGAAAAAATATTTTGCAGAGCTTAAAGGAGTTTTTATTAGAATCAACAGATGGCGTTATAGTGCTGATTATTTTTTATTAATGAAAATAACCGTTTCTATATTTTTAAGAGATTTGTTTTTCTATTTATAAAAAGAATATTTCTATTTGTAAAAAGCTGAATCACTGTATAAACTGTATTTTCTATGGCGATCTTGGTGGTGATCATGTACTAATAATATTACTGACGCCACCTTTATCGGCAATAAAAACTATAAACGCGATGTTTCACCACCATTGAAAGCTTAATGGTGATTTAGAACTTGTTACAATGCTACTGGCTAGATGTCGCTTTCATTGAGTTTAAAAACAGAAAGAAAGAAACGATTTTTAGATTATAGTGATACATAAATCTTATAATATTAATTTGTTTTCTTTTTTTAATTAAATTACAGTTAATTTTAAATCTGTTTATACAGACAAAACTAACTTTCAAATTGATCTTTCTGATGATTATTTCTGATCGCTCATTTAAATTGGTAATATTTAGAAGTTATCCTTTCCTTTTTACGCGGTTGTTATTAGCTTTTATTTATAAAATATAGAGAAATTTAATATTTTAAAAACAAAATAATTTACGATACTCAAGAAGTAACTATATGTGATTTTTTTTTATGGGATAGGTGGCAGACGAGCAGATGGATCACCTAATGGAAAGTGATTACCGTCGCCCATGGACACCTGCAACACCAGAGGGGCTACAAGCGCGCTGCCGGCCTTGGAGGAAAGGGTTGAGGGGTAGAGGGAAAGGAATAGGGAGGGGTTGGGCCTCCGGTACCCTCACTCACACGACGAAACACAACGCAAGCGTTGCTTCACGTCGTTTTTCTGTGAGGCCGTGGTATCACTCCGGTCGAGCCGGCCCATTCAAGCCGAAGCGTGGCTTCCGACGGAACGGATGCATGCATTTCTTAGAAGAGATACTCAAACAATTTTAGGTAAGAGACTCATTTACAAAATGTACAGCTATCTCAGAAAACTTTAATATCCCAATTACTTCCTTTATAAATTCTGGCTTTTTTTTCAATTGATACGGGTATGAGGCAGTTAAGAAACTTTGCTGTTGCTGAAGTGTGTAAACTAAACATACTTACCTATTTTCTCATAAAAGTGTATGTAATTCCTAAAAAAAAAAATCACCAGCTTCATCATTAGTTTATTTATTAATAGCTTTTGCTATTCCTCGAGATAATATTTTTGTGCGAAAATTACCTAAAATCCTAACGTGTTAACCATTCGCCATTAAGCTCCTTATGCTAAAGTAGAAGTCATTGTTTTATTAAAAAAAAATTGATTTCGATTCTAGTTTAATTCCTGGGAAACTGATATTTCATTGAAATAAGGGCTTGATATCGGCCACTTACATTTAAAGACATTTCTTTCCTTGAGGTATGGCTATGGAGGTTTTTATCGTAGTCTATATGGTGTCAGTCCAAAGCATCGGTGATCGTCAGTGCGACTGCTTGCCTTCTCACTTACCCTTGAACAACGAGCAGTTTCATGGACTTTTGGTTTCGTCTTGAACTTGATTTTCAGTTTTTCTAAAATAGAAGCATCGGTCCGAAGCTACAAATCATAGAACTATAAATCTCTACTAAAATTCTTTACCAGTGACCACGTTACCATAAAACTAACACTCCCTATTCCTGTAATTTTCGTGTTTGCATCCGAGTGTAATTGTGTTTCGTATCGTAGCTCACCATCATCAACTTCATATGATTGAACGGTCGGTTCAAGTAGTGTGGTTCAAGGCTGGTATCGTCGATTACGCTCGAAGGCGTCAGTTACGAAGAGCGTGTAATTATTGGTTTTGTGCTCAATTGCTGGTAGTATCCGGCTCAATTATTACCTCCTTGCTACACGCAATAAATTAAAAATCGTATTTGTCTCGAAATTCGCCGTCCTCTGTCCGTATCTATTCTAAAGATAGGAATATAGTCATTTGACCTTACGTCTTCTCATAAGAAATACATTTTATTGCACCTGCCAAAGATATGATTTTCTTCTATCGAGAAAATTTTTCAAGTTCACATTTTACCCTAAGAAATGTAATGTATTACATTTTTATTTATAGCTATAAATAAACGTGAAGCTTCACGTGGTAAGGTAGTTTTTTAGATTTTCGCAGATGCTTGCAAGTCTAAATTGAATTATCAATAGTATGAAATTTGAAAATTTAAATCAAGTCTTAATAATTTTATATACTTATTAATGTTATATATGCACCTGAATTGGGAATTACGTTTTATCTACTTCATAATTTTAAATCATAGTCTAGTAATTAACTATTTCCAGCTATTTAAGTGCCAGAAAAACACCAGTTTTCACGTTAACTAACAAGAATTATTCGTAATTAAAACATTACAAAAATCTTGAGTAAAGTTAATGTGAATCAGTTGAAGGGTTAGCCTGTTAGTATGCAGTGGGTTGTGTTGCTCTGTTTTATTGGATTAACGAAAGGTGCCAAAGGTTACCAAAATGTAACAATTGATGCTGTTCCCCTTCAAATTAGGCAATTCAAGACGGAGCATCCAGTAAGCGGGAGTTTTTTTTCCACAAAATATTTAAAAGAACAAGTTACAAATATAGTTACTCGTAGTAGCGCACAAATAAATAGAAATTAAAAAAAGCAAAGTTCAATTCAGACCAATTGTGAGGTTTTTGACTTTTTTATTGAAGATACTTTAACGTATAAAACAAAAAAAAACTAAAAACTTTAATAAACAAGATTCTTGAAGTTTAATAAAAAATTTTGTGAATGTAAAATATTGTCGAATATAATTATTACATTTTATTATTTTAGTTGCCGATCGGTGTCTTAACAACTACAGTCGGAGCTCCAATAGACATAAGGAATACTAAAAGCGAAAACTCTGATGTATTTGTGAATGATTATTTCTACGACTCGCAGTTTCATATCGACTTCGAAAGAATTGCAGAGAGAGTCGTACATTCTAAGGCGATTGGTGCATTCGGATATTTTGAAGTAACTAATGATGTGTCCGAATATACGAGTGCTGATACTTTTAATGGAATCGGAAAGAAAACACCAGTTTTTGGAAGGTTCTCTACGGCAAGACAAAACCTAGGTGGCCCTGAACTTGGTAGAGAAAATAAAGGGTTATCCCTCAAGATGTATACAAAAGAAGGCAACTTGGACTTTCTCTGTTTGCACACTCCTGTTTTTGAATATATTGATCCGGTTGATTTTACTCCCTTTGTTCGAGCTAATCGAAGAAACCCTAAAACAAATATGTTTGATATGACAATGGCTTGGGACTTTTTAACGCTAAAACCGACAGTTCTCCACCCCCTCCTTTGGCGGTTTTCAGATTATGGTATTCCTTACGGTTACAGAAAAATGGATATTTTCCCGATACACGCATATGAACTAAACAATAAACATGGTGATCGATATTTAGCGAAATTCAACTTTCGAACGGAACTAGGCTTAGACAATCTTACTAACGCTGAAGCACAGGCTATAGCCAGTCAAGAACCAGAATTCTTTTCTAAGGACTTATACAATGCTATTGCAAACAAAAACTACCCATCGTGGAGGTTGGAAATAGATATAATGCCCCTTGAACAAGCTAAAAAACTTGATTACAATCCATTTGACGTCAACAGGCTGTGGAAAAGGGGAACTTTCAAAACTGTCACCATAGGACGATTAGTTTTTGATAAACACTCAGACAATCACTTTAGAGATACAGAACAAAGCGCTTTCAGTCCTTCTAATTTGGTGCCAGGTATTCCTGGGCCAGCTGATCTAATGTTTAAAGCTCGGAGGGCAGCCTATATACATGCACATGCAAATCGTGTGGGAATCAATGTTGAAAATGTCAGAATAAATCGACCCATATATAGGAAAACCTATGTGCGCGATGGCTCCCCACCAGTAACAGATAATATGAACGATGCACCGAATTACTATCCAAATACATTTAATGGTCCTGTTCCTATTGTTGATAAGAGTCGACCTAGTGAAAAATTAATAGTTCTCGATAAAACTTCAATCGATTTTGAGCCTTTATCATATTTTTACAATCATATTTTAGAAAATGATGCACACAGACAAAGAATGGCTGACAATACTGCAGCATCGCTAGTCCTAGTCGATATAGAAGTCGTGAAGAAATCAATAAAGCTACTTTATCTTGCAGATCCAGATTTAGGAAGAAAAGTAACTCAAAGTTACAAGGAACAGCGGAGGATAGCAAACGCTGCTGCAAAATTAGATGCTAGAACAAGATATCAGCCTATCGCTCAAAGTATAAGTGAATTAAGCCAATACATTTTAAAAGCAACGATAAACTTGTAAGGTAATTTAACTGAAGTAAATAATTGGGAATCAGTAATAAAACACTGGTCATTGTCATTTCATTACCCTTCAGTATAAATTTGGACTATAAAAAAAATCCGGAATATGACTCAATATAATTAATAATGAAAAATAATTTATTTTAATTTAATATGAACAGTGAAAGAATTAGTTATATGAAGTTTATGACGAAGTTATACAAAATCATCAAAAATAGTTTTCTTGTCATAGTACATGGTAATTAAGAGACAGCTGATTTTGAAAAAGTTAAAAACATTTATTTTACGAGAACTATTTATCTGATGTTGCAGATTTTGATCCAGATTTTAAGCATCTTTAGTCTTTGGCATTTTATGTTACTTAACCGGTCTCTTATGATTGCAACTAAATTTAAGGGGAATTATTTCCTATGAGGTTATAAAAAGGTTAATTTAATTAAAATAAAAAACATCTTAAATATGAATATCTCTTTATTTTTAACAATAAACTCTAGACAGGAGGTATTTTTATTACTTACATTAAACTAATTACTAAATTAATTTGCCACATACATTTAATGGAATATTAACATTAAATCACTATTAATAAAAAGAAAGCTGGGATAGTTCTTGAACATCTCTAATTTATATTAATTATAATTTAAGCGTTTTTCTAAAACTTGTGATTTTATAAAATGTGAAGGAAGTTATAAGGGAACAGTTTTGTGATTTGTATTCTCCGAGTTTAAATGGACAAAAAATCATTAAAAATATCACAATAGTGTATTATGCTAAATCAGTCAATCTTCAAACATAATATTGTAAAATTTAAGCTAAGTACATTAGAGGCAAATTTTAAATACTTTTTATACGGTTATAGAATAAAGTAATAAAATGACTAGATTGTAAAGATATTTTATCACGACATTTTTCAGAGATCTAAATCTACCAATAAATAATTATGAGAGAACAGGTAACATAAAAGTTATAATTGAACAGTGAATTTTATTGAAGTGTATTATTTCAATATTATAATAGATAATGATCAATTAATGATAACCAAGGCTTAGAGGCAGCACGGAAATTTAATTATAAAATAAATTTTGGATTCACATGTCCGCCTAATGATATTGCTTAGATAATAGGCGCTTGTTAAGAGATCTTATTATTATGTTTATGGATGTTGTCGTGATTGTGGCCAGTGTAACTGATCATGGCAATTGAGGCGATATTTTCTAATATCCTGGAGATACTACACTGTTACATAATCGCCTCGTTGTGCCGAATACTGGTTTGTATCTATTGGGTGTCTCGTCGCCTCCTGCCTGGTCCAAAGGCGGAGTTGGCGGCAGCGACTCCGAGCATGTGTTTAGCTTGCAGAGCGCCAGAGTATCCGCGGCTGAGGCCTAGATCCAGGGCACGTTTCTCGCTGTCAAATAAAAAAATATATATATGTAAGCAAGAAAGATATACATGCAAATAAATATAATAAAATACGTAGAAATTTTAAACATAATATCAAAAGAATATACTGGGACATTTTTTAAGATTGGAAGAAGTCATGCGTGAATTAATCGTTTTAAATTGGCGAGGACAAAGATGGATTAACTTTAAAATCGTTGCAGCACATTCCCGTGGAAATTTACTTCCAAATTATCATTAACTTTCCGCCAGCGACTTCGCCCGCGTGGTCTTGTATTATACATTAAAACATACCTTTTAAATCGCCCTTACTATGAAAAAAAACCGGATCAATATCTGTTGCGTATTTTTAAAGATTTAGGCATACATGGATATAGGGACAGAGAAAGCGACTTTGTTTTATACTATATAGTGATAAGAGTAATGCAATACTCTTGCATATAAATTCAACTAGTTATAAATTCTTTTAATAAGAAATTTATTTATTTATTGTAAAATTCCACATTACATATCGTTTTGTTTATTGAATATCACGTCACATAATAATATCCTATTAGTGGAAGTTTCTTATCGTCAATAATAACAACTACTCAATATTTATATTGCATGCAGAAAAGAAAATTCCAAATATTAATGCATTTTTTCATGCGTGAAAAAGCAAATATAAACCAGATGTAAAATTGTACAGCAATACCTCGAATCTCGTCGATACATCTTCTTTGGCGTTTTATGCAAAATTTCGATTACCGAATGTAGACTTATTATTATTCAATTAATGTAATGCATATCCAAGATTTTGAAGACCTTAATTATCTGGATCTAGTACACGTAGAAGACCGAATGATAGTTGGAAACTCTATAAATACACAATGGATGATAAATTAGAAAGTGTAGTATCCTATTGAGCATGCGCATATTTTACAAAACAAGAAATAAAAAACATACTATTTTCAATATTACTTGTACTACTTGTTAAATAATTTAGATTTTTACACCAAATTATTTTTAATGTGTTAAATTTTATTTTAAAAAGTTCACTGAAGCGACTAGACCCAATTAATAAAATCACTTTTAAGGGAAAAAATCACTATATCGATTATCTTGAAAGTTCGAGGTATTACTGTACTTACCGCTGCAGCAAACTATAATTTTAACAAAGCGTAAAGTACAATTGAAGATGGCGATTTAATAAATAGTTTAAGTGGCTTCGTTATGCGCTAAGTACGATGTTCTGGACGTACCTAGTAATGTCATCTTTAAAGCTGAAAAGAGATAAAAGACAGTTAAGATTTCTTTTATTTTAAGTATGTGAGAAGAAAATGTAAAAGTAGTTAAAGCAATAGTTGTTAAATAAACTTAAATCTAATTCTTTAAATATTAAAATTAAAAAAAGTTATATCTGAAAAATATAACATTCTATATTGTGAGAATAGTCTGTATATTATGTTGAAATTTTCATTCCTAAGGAACAATAGTTATAGGATAATAAATAACTTAGCAGATAGCCAAGATCGTAATGGTGATGGACCCATTCTTGGCACAATTGTCACTCGGCGCAGAAATTCAGAAAATTAAATTGTTATCTCTAGTCTTTGTTAACACGCCAAGTTAAGGTTTTCGTAAATATCTGTGTCAGTAAAAGTTCAAACTCACTTTTCCATTTTGCGTTCAATTTGAAGGAGACTTCCAAGGCGATTCAGCATATCCATGATTTCCTCTGGTTCATATGGGCCTTCTTCGCGATAGTAGTTGCCGAGACTAGAACAAAATATAAATAATAATATTTTTATGGTATGTCTTTTTTCTTTGGTATAACATAAGGGTTACACTTATACCGATAACATATAATCTAATTCTGAATACGCTTTATACAAAACAGCAGAACATCATATTTCAGTTGAGATTCTAGTGTAAGCAGCCAAAAAATTTTTATTAAGGAAATAAAAAATAATGAAGAAAATATGAACAACAAGAGATAAAACTTACAATAAAACATACAAGAGAAAGAATAAGACGTATATATAAAACACAGATTTTGTCGGGTTTGGTAAAATTATTGTTGTGTTGCGTAAGATTTAGCGTAGTGTGTAGCTTTTAACTTGATGTTTGCCTTTAAATTACTAGGCATGTTACATGTGCTATCGTTATGTATTAGAGGACATTATACTACTACCTGGGATATGCTGAAGACGGCACCACCAGCAGGAGAGCGAAGAGAGCACAGAAAGCCAAAACGCAGGTTGCTCGTACCATCCTGGAACAATTTAATTTACTTAATGTAATCACGTCCTTTCTCCGCATATTGGGCGCAAATTATATGTTACAAGATAATTAAACATTAAACAGATTTATTAGATATTCATACATTATCAACGATAACAGAGAGTTTCTTTGAACAGCATCAAGTTTCCCGCCCATGGCTTATATTAAAAGTTACACATGTTTTCTCCTCATTTGTTTTATTTCTTGAAATTTCATAACTTTGAAGTTATCTTTCCGAAACTCAACACAGACATAAAACTTGAAACCAGAATGGTTCTGTAACTATTCAGAAGGTAAGAGATGAATCACGTACTCTCAATAGCTTTGGCGCTTTTTTAATAATCCGATTTTGTTTTAAGTTACTTTTTTGGTAAGTAAAAAAAGAACTCTCGAAGTAAAAAAATAAAAACAAAAAAGTAACTCACGCGAAGCGACTATTTTAGGCTGCGTTTTGGAAACTTTTCAGGAAATTACTGCTTTGCTGTATTTATTACCAAACTCTAACTTGTTGTTCGGTCAAGCGCAGTATCGACAGGGAGAGATAAGAATTAATTAACAAATTCATTTCCGACCAAAGATACCGACTGATACCATAATAGGTGGTAACATTATGTCATGGTGCTCTGATTTTGTCGAGATTTATTGTTTCCGTTAACATGGTTCGGCTGACGTTCAGATTGCAGCTTTGTTTTGCTTGTGTCATATCATCAGTAAATGAGATTGACTACTTATATAATTCTATTCTACCGCATTAATTTGTAATCCTAGTTTGGATGTAAAGTACATTTTTGGTCACCCATCCTATGACCGGGCCTTGCGAAAGTTGCTTAGTAACCGTCTCGCAGGCCGAGCGCACTAACGACTGCGCCTTGATGGATCTCTTTATTTTATTTACTTATTGTTAGTTAAAAACATTATAACCAATGAATGTAACTTGAATTCGTGGATAATATTAAGCCATATAATCGAATGTTTTGCTTGATTAAAATTTGATAATTACTAAAGCAAAATAACCTTCAAGTAAATATGTAAGATTAAAGGATATCCTGTAGGCTCATAATTATCCAATAATTGTCTTTAATGAAATAACATGATGTAATAAATAATTATTTTATCTTTCATATTGTATACTAGCTGTGCCCGCGACTTCGTCTGCGTGGGAAAGTATATGAGGATTTTTTCTTTCCTATGGTTGGGATCGAATCGAGTAGGATCAATGGTCCATAACAAACTACGCGGGCCTAATATGAATTGGTGGGTGTTAACGACGACTGATGGACCGACGGCTTAACTTGCATTCTGAAGCACGGATGAGCTCAAGATAATAATGTTTTGGTCATCCACCTTATGAACGGCCCTTACGATAGTTATTTTTTCTCACTTCTCTCTCTGCTCTTGTGTCTGACCATTTTTAATCGTACATTAGGTATACTCGTATTAGTGATACTTACGCTGTTTCAACAGTTCTTATTTTGATTTTGATCTTTTTAAAATGTTATTTGTTTATCTGTCTAGTTGTATGCGCAATCTATTATTTTGTTATGTTTTCTATCTCATGCTAGGTTGCCTAAAAGAAATCGCTGGCTAATACTAAATTGGCTTTAGTACATAGTTATGAATGTTATGTATGAAAAATATATATGTACGTTCGTGTTATTGTCTTGTTGTGCAATAAAGATTTTACTTAACCGCATCGTAAACAAAATTTCATTGTTATTTGCATCGAATTGATTCCGAAACCACTAAGCCGATTTTAAATATTCTTTCACGATCGGGAAGCAACGTCATACCCGGATGAGACAGGTTATAATTTACGCGGCTAGTTAACAGTTAATTACATAGGTACGTTTGTGGGGTACAGGCAGATTGAAAACAACACCGATTGGGTATATTCGAAACTACTTTTTCGCTCGGCAAAACTGCAAAGTCCAAGCTCTTTAAGAACTCGACTGCATTTCTCTATCAAAGGAAGTTTCAGACTCAAACGATACTGCATATGTGTTACGATCAGCAGTTAGACTAGCTAAGTTATCTTCAGGAGTTTTCTGAGATCAAACGCTTGCTGTATGAGTTCTCTGAGAACTCAAGATATTTTCCCTAACAGTGAATGCTACAGATTCAACTTGATAGTGCAGTCGCGATGGGCATTTAACTTCGCACCCGTCAGGTATCTACTGTGACCGAGCGCTTCATGTTCGAACTCTCTGAGAGATCAAGCGCCTTTGTTTGTCTATAAAAGTCTTAGGGTCGACTGACATGCCCCCATTAACTTTCGTCAAACAAGAGCGTCTTATTTGACGCAGAACGTCAGAGAACTAAAAATATAAATGATATTAAATTCGACTTGGCACACTCGACAGAAATCGTGTACTAACATATATTTCCGACAGGTGCTTGACTGAGCTCCATCAATTTTGCACCGACCCTCAGACTCATGTAATATTGCATGAGCCTCATGACCGGTGAATAAACCTGTATCTCCAGTGAAGACTGCAAATAGCAACTTTTAAGTAAAGCGGTTTGAAAGTAAAAAAAAAACAAGAAGTGTAATATAAGTGGAAAAAAATCGATATAACTTGAGTTGTCTTCACTCATTCGAGAACGATGTAAACCCAGTTTAGATTCATGCTGAGCCAAAGTTTCTGTAAAGTGTAACCTGGCCTAAAAATTTTCTACATCTCGCTACAGGATCTTAAGAATCTGATCCTTTTAGCAGTTTTGACCTTTTTAAGGCATTCTTACAATTTATGTACCTTTTTGGCAAAAATATCTGCTCATACGTGAACTTAACTATTTTTCGCGTGTATTGTTTACGGGATGGGTGATCAAAAATTATTAAATAAAAGTCTGAGCCCCACTGCATGGGGATGCAAAAGAGCTGATGATGATATACAATATATCAGAGACTAAAATTTCATAAAACAATTTATATCATAACAATTTTGATGAACAAAGTATTTCAAATATATATAACTTTTTTATTTATGAACCGATTGAAATAAAACTACTAATACAATGGTGAAAACTGCATTAAAATCGGTTCAGCCGTTTCTGAGATTAGCGTGCTCAAACACACAGACAAAGAGATAATTTTTTTTTAAATCGTTGTTTTGTTTGCTGTTACATTTATAATTGCCTCTCATAACAGTTTGTTTCATATATCTCCAATGTACAGACATCGATCGGTTACGTTTTAATTATAGTAATTGATCTTATTTTTTACTTCTCAAAACATTTGTAGTCTTTTATTTCACCATCGACATCATCACCAGGATATTAATGTTCCCACTGTCGGGACTTAAACCTTCCCTTCCCTATGAATGTAATAGAATAGGGAGAATGGGCCATGACCCACCACGTGGGCCCGGTGTGGATTTGTGTTAATGACTGCAAATGCAGACGAGACTGTGCCAAACGTGCCTTCAAGCACGGGGGATTTCGAGATAATACATTTTTGGTCAATCATCCTATGACCGGCCTTTACAAAAGTTGCTTGTTAACCGTATCACAGGCCGAGCGCACTAAGCACAGCGCTATCCCCTGTTTATGTTATTTACTAATAATAAACTTGACAGATCTTGAGACAGGAATTAATTTTTTAGACAGACTGAATACTTCTCACAAATTGACAAGATTACTGACAATAATATGTTTTCGTCACTAAGCAATCTCCCTCCACTAATGGAACCTTATCTTAAAAGTTTGTAAGATGTAATCTTAACACTTCAAAGTTTTTGCGCAGTCTTCCCAATGAATGGAATCGCATATGTATTTTATCTTTATAGTAAAGTCACTTCCCGTTATCTGTACACTTAGAACTTTTAAATACACTACGGATGATAGTTAATGCGGTTTTCATCAAGATGCAGTGTAAAGTGTAAGTTTTATGTTAACGTGTTCACTAGTGAGTGCGTTAAAAATTTGTATGGAGATGTATGGCTGCACCGGATTCCATACTAAAATTATAACGCGCTCATGATCGACGGTGAACGCAATCGTCAAAAAAACTTACACTAAGCGCTCAGATTGATTCAAGCGAAGCTGATTCATCGCCACTTTTCATTTATTTTACATGCAGAAATTATTGTAAATAATTTAATCAATTCACATTGGCAGAATTTTGCGGAAAGCCAATTGCAGATAAGTCAATCATAAAAAAAATAGATGATATGAGCGCATGGTTTTTATGTATTATACAGGACCACGCGGTTGAAGCAGATGGCGGAAAGCTAGTATAGTATACCTACATATTTATTATCATAGTCAATAATGATTTCATCTTTAATCGTATCTAATTGTCATGGATCATATATGTAATATATATATACGAGTATCACGCTTGGGTCAAACTTCTGTCGCTCATCACTGCCATCGCTACGATGTCCTGACATCTTGTCTTTGGTCCATGATGCGCAAGATAAGGCAGATTTACTGACCAATACCTTTGCGTTCATCTCTTGGCTTGATGATGGTAATGCAGAGCCATCTACCTTAATCCCATGCGCATTACGATGCCGGATATAAAAATCAGACAGTGCGTGTATTAACTTAGCAGTCCACTACTCGCAACTTGGAAGATCACTTCATAATCCACGATCGGCAGCACAGTTTTAGGCCAAACTGCTCAATGGGTGATCTTTAAGCGTACTTGTTACTTTGCTGGGGTGAGGCGATAGACGTTCATAGCGAAACGTTGGCTGTCAGCCTGAACATTTCCACAGCTTTCGATAGAATCTGGTATAAAGGCCTTCTCGATAAACTGCCTTCTTACGGATTCCCTAGCCAACTCTGTACTTGGACCACCGGCTTCTGGGGCTTCGCAGTTTAAATAATTGAATGCCGGTTTTTTCATTACACATACTGTTCTTCTGCATATCAATGACATGTTGCCTTGCCTGAAGAATTATTCAACATTATCGCCCCTCCTCTTTCCATAACAAGTTAATTTCTATTTATTGTAGCTTTTGTCCAGTTGTTACGAATCTACGTTCC